CCAGGCGAGCAAATCGATAACCTAACAAAATTAATTACACAATCAGAACATATTCAAGTTTTATTTATTTTCTACTTTCTACTTACCACACGCCAACCCATTCTGTAGGCTTCAACGTTGCAACGTATACAGTAGCGAATTGATTTCCCATTGATATTACAGAATCTGTATGAATCATTAGGATTAATATCTTGTCATGAAATCATAGCTCTTCATATCTTTTATTTCACCCTTCAATTGAGCTCCTTCATCCGAGTATTTATCAACCACCCCTTCACCCCCGTAAGTTCATCCTCAAATCAACAACCTCCTTCACCACTCCCTCAAATTTTTCTCCCGTCACCATCTTATATCACCCCTAAACCGAAACTTCTTTCACCACTTCACCCCTCAACACCTCTACTTCTTTCACCACTCCTTCTATTTTTCCTTCCACTACCCCCTTATGCCTCTCGAGTTTCTCTACGACTTGATCAAGTTTCTCTTCGACTCTTGATTGTTTTGCATGATTTCAAATTGGATTTTTTTGATATCAGCCAATTCAGACATCAAAATGTCGAAGTTACTCTGTTTTGCTTCACCGTCGTCCCACTCACCTTCATCCCCAATAAACCATCCCTCCTTCTTCTCCTCTGCCTCCACTGCCTCCTCTACATCCTTGCCAATAACCTTCAAAAAATTAAATTACATATTAAGACATTGATTATATTCTTAATATTATTTAATTACATTTATTACCATTTCTTGCTTTTCCCTCTATCCAACTTCAACTTCACCATCACTCTAACCACCTCTTCCTTCCCCCATGCACGGATGCGTGCCACTCCGGTTCTTTCATAAGCCGGCACTGCCTCACAGCCCGACCAAAAATCGAACAGTGCAACCTGCATTTATAATAAAATTAGAATTTTTATATAAAAACACAAAAAAGTGATTCAACTCATTTACCTCTAAGATTGCTGCACCCTTGAGGTATCTCTGGCTGCCCTTTTTAAAGGTGATAATTGATTCAATCAATCTCGAATGGATATATTCAGCCCAATTGAATTCACCCTTCAAGCCTTCATCGCAAATGAGCTTCATATATTCCTTGTTCGTTGACGTATCACCCGTTGGACAAAGAAATATACCGACAAGGTACAATAGAACTCGGGCCTTCAGCTCCCCCCAAGTAAGATCCACTTTTGATATCCTCTTCAACTTCAGTATATGTCACCTTATGATTCAAACCATATTTGGAGGCAAGTGCTTTCCAGTTTTACTCCTACAGACTTCTATAACACTTTTGCCTTTGTTTTGTACCCCCAATACGGCTGCAGCAGTCGATACCCCCAGAGGGAATGAATAATCACCATACTTAGCCATACATTGACTGACGTCAAATTGTGCCATCAAGGATCGACACAATTCCCTCCGAATAGGTCGATCCTTACTCCGATCAACGATCCAAAACCTATTTCTCCCAGCACATTCAACTGACCCTTCTCCTTAAGGTGTTTAATTAATAAATTCACCCTTTTAATGCTGCATCTTGTCGAAACTTCCTACATTTTTAACAATATATAATGTTATAGTTCTTATATATTTGTATCAACGTATTTACAAGTTTAATGAATACCTTATTTTCATGTGCTTTCCTCCGTTCTTTGTATTCTTTACTATCATTCCTTGACTGTGTGATGTAAGGTTCCTTTTCAGCATCACTCATTGAATTCCATTTGGACCTCACATCTTTTTTCACCTAATATTAAACATAAACGTTTCTTAATCAATACATTAACACTAAATACTAATACTACTCAATGTCAATTTCATTTTACATACCGAACCGCTCTGTGTGCCATCTCCCTTCATCCTTTTGCATTCGGCCATACTGTTAACATTTAAAATTTGTAATCAATTTAAAGTTTATCGATACTTTAATCCAATTACCATTTCAACAATAATAACAAAAAGACATTGATACTTACTAGAAGTACATATATCCACCCTTTGGTTGCTTTCGAGTCTCGGCCTCAATTTCAAGTCATCTGCTCCACCAACAATTTTCCAACCCATTGACTCCATTTTTCCTTCATATATCAGTTTACGCAAATCAAATTATTTTGTTACATACACTTTTCATATACAAATATAGATAACTACTCTTGTGGTAAAACGGTTTTCTTCAAAAGAATTTGAATGGCCACACCAAAATGTGTCGGCACATTTATACAACCTAATATCATTTTCTACCTATAATATTTAATAAAAGTATCGACATTTATCGTTTTCCTTGAATATCTATTTCTACCTGCAATCGGTCCCAAATGCTTCCTTACTCCAAAACCCCAAACAACACATAAAAAACCCTATCGCGATTACTGTAATAAAAAATTAGGGTTTCGACAACATACTTTTCGATTCGACTGCAGCAACAAACAAACAAACTTCGCTTTAGAAACGCCTTCTGAAATGCAGCAATTACTCTTCGATTTCAAAAACTCGTCCGTTCTATCTATTTCAGAGGATATTTAGCTTATATTTTCATCGGATATGTTATTTATATTTAATCGATACAAATACAAAAGTGTCGATACTTTTATGTCAGGTGTCGATACTTTCGAAAGGATAATTACCTATTTCTTTGAAAGTGTCGATAATTTATTACACGTACTTACGAAAGTATCGACACTTTCAATATATCCGGTATCATTTTACCGTTTTTATCATTTTGATACCGGTTTTATCATATTTTTACCTGTTATATCGTTGTGGATCGATATTTTTTTTTAAAGTATCGACACATTATAGGCGCTATAACTGCTTCTCTTTTAAATTCACAAAGTGTCGATCCTTATATAACGTATCGACACTTTTAATTTTACCGGTTTTATCATTTTGTTACCGGTTTTATCATATTTTTACCTGGTATATCGTTTTGGATCGATATATTTCTTAAAAGTATCGACACTTTTTAGGATTTAAAACTGCTTTTAAAGTTATGTAATTTATGTTTCAATTTATTTAATAGTGTTTTATGTTTTCCACCTACAATATTAATTTAATAATTTAATTTACACAAAATTTTATTTGATTGTTTTGATATTTTATAAAATATTATTTAGAATTTAAATTTAACAATATTAACCAAATATAATAATAAATATGTTTTCAACAGTGAAATAAGTATGGACACTTTTATAAAAATGATATATACTTTTTTGAAAGTTATGTAATTTATGTTTCAATTTTTTTTAATAGTGTTTCATGTTTTCCACCTACAATATTAATTTAATAATTTCATTTACACAAAAAATTATTTGATTGTTTTGATATTTTATAAAATATTATTTAGATTTTAAATTTAACAATATTAACTAAAGATAATAATAAATATATTTTCACAGTGAAATAAGTATGGACACTTTTATAAAAGGGATAGATAATTTACAATATAACAGGTAAAAATATGACAAAACCAGATTCATTATGACAAAACCGGTAAAATTTACTTGATATGTTAAAAGTATGGACACTTTTATAAAAAGGATAGATACTTACCGATAACCAAAGTTTACCGGTTACCAAATTTTTTAATAGTTTTTCATATTTTCTACCTAAAACATTATTAGTTGTCAACATAATAGGTACCGCTAAACCGAATTTATTAAATACATTTTAATGTATCCGGTAATGCTGTATATTAGCCGTATATTAACCCGCCTTTCCTGAGACATTCCCCGTATACAAAGTGTAAAACGCCCCCAAGAAAATTGGGGAGTTGTTAAAGGGAATCTTCGTATCGTCCAAGGCGTAAATAAATGACTTTTTAGAACGAATTTTATATTTATTTTACGTTTCAAAAATTTATTATATATTTTTCTTAATTATATCATTAAATATGATTTTTTTTTGTTGGGAATATAAAGATATTTAGTACAGCACTGGTAATTAAAATTAACATCTTCACGATTAGCTTAAAATTAATGGACAATAAGAAGAAAATTTATTTAATACATGTTGTTAGTTGATGACCCTATCATTATCTATGTATACTAAACCCTAATTAAATTTAATATCACGAATCAATCAAATACTAACCATATGCTCTATAGCTAATACAAAACAATAAGGAGATAGGGCGACACATCTTTTAGAATGAAATTTTGAATGAAGTCCCATCTAACTTTTTTGCAAAACAACTTTAATTAATGATTGTGATGGACCTACCAGAAATAAAATTAATTTAATGAGTAATAGCATTATACGTTTTAGATGACCAACAATTACCTTTATGATGAGCTTATATATAAAACAGCATAAGTTAACATGTCTAAAATCTGAAAACATTTTATGATTTTATCTCTAACATGTCTAAAATCAGTGAAAAGAAATAATATATAGTTTTATATTTAAATTTTATAAATTAAATAATTTTAATTTATTTATTTAAAAATTATATAAACATATTATAATAATCCTAAATATAATTATAATAATAATTTCCACCAAATTTGTGACACTAAATAGTATAATTGATTTATTTATGAAACTTTTCGAAAGTTTTACCTCGACTAATTCAGACTGGCCCGGTAACACACTTAGTTTTAGTAGATAAGTCTTCTAATGGAATTTTCTTCATACATAGAGACTAAAAGAAATGATTTTTTTAATATCATATTATAAATATTATTATAACACAAAATAGTATAAATATTGAATTAAGTAAATAATAATTTCATTAAATTAGTTAGAAACCACTTCCGTAAAAGAAAAATAGAAGTAGAGATAGTATTGTAAATAGATGGGAAATAAATGGAATAATAAAAGGGAACTGGGAAGAACCTTTATATTAGATTAAAGGAAGTACACATTTTGTTACAGAGGTTAAGGCTTCATGGGATATTAACCCTTCACCCATTTTATTGCTACACTTTTTCCTCTTGTAGTTGTAAATGCAAGTTTTAGTATAGACTGGCTTAACCATCATATGGATTGCCGCCGTACCCACTACCACCTTAATAACCACCACCCCCACCTTTTCCTCCTTTGCTTCCACTACCACTTCCACCCCTACCATGTCCGCCGCTTCCACCTCCACCATATCCAATACCTCCACTTCCTCCACCACCACTACTACCTCCACCGTGTCCACCACTTCCTTTGCCTCCTCCACTTCCACCACCATGTCCACCACTGCTTCCTTTACCTCCTCCGCCACTTCCTCCACTTCCACCACCATGTCCGCCACCGCTACTTCCTCCACCACTTCCACCACCATGTCCGCTACCACTACTTCCTCCACTTCCACCACCATGTCCGCCACCACTACTTCCTCCACCACCATGTCCGCCACCACTACTTCCTCCACCACTTCCACCTCCACCATAGGCACCACCGCCACCTCCATGTCCACCACCACCACCATGTCCACCGCTCCCACCACTTCCACCTCCACCACTCCCACCACTTCCACCTCCACCGTGTCCACCACCGGCACCACTTCCACCTCCACCGTGTCCACCACCACCACCACTTCCACCTCCACCATGTCCACTACTACCACCACCACCATGTCCATCGCCGCTACTTCCTCCACCACTTCCACCTCCACCATGTCCACCACCACCACTTCCTCCACTGCCATGTCCACCACCACCACTTCCTCCACTGCCATGTCCACCACCGCCGCTTCCACCGCCATGTCCACCACCACCACTTCTTCCATGATTAGTTCCTTGCAACTTCACATCGTTCGGCTGGTCATTAAATTTGAACTCTTCAGCCACAACCTCTGCATCAACAAAACAACATTTCATCAACATCATCAGTTACTTAACTCAAAAAACATTATTCTCATAAGCAACAATGAACTATCAGATCAAAATCAATATCCCCCCCCCCCAACATATCAACATTCACAGTAGCCATTCAAAGTAGCACCATACCAGAAAAACTGCAACACCTACAACCACCATATCGGCTACAGCAACGGTATCTGCAATATATCTTGGCGTCGTCAACCTCTTTCCCTTCTTCACCTACTGCTACTACTTCCACACAAAAAACGTCACACAAAAAAAAAACCCCATAAATCCCTCAACACAACAAATATTAAACAAAACGAAAACATTACACTAACCTTTTGTACTTCCATCTTTAGATTCTCCAGCAATTGCAGGTGAAGAGAAGAACACAAGTGCGAGCAAAATCAACAGCTTAAGCTTCATATTTTCCTTTTTCTCAAAATTCTTCAAGCTTTCGGTAATGCCGTGAAAATGAAGCTTGGGGGGTTTATTTATAGTTCATATCACCGAAAAGCGTAGATGGCTGAAGCGGTGCAGAATTAAAAGGAAACAGGTGAATCGATGCTCTTGGGAAGCTGCCACGGACTTGGATGAAAGCCATGTGGAATGTTTAGTTCAGGTTCAGATAACTTAGAACAATCTCCATAATGTTGCCAATTTTGCTTACTCCCAACATAAATTTTGTTGCTTTGTTCTCGGGGTCAAACTTGGCTTTCCAATATCTGATCTCATCATATTGAAAATAATGGATCAGCTCTGTATTCTCTTTCTTTGCGCCACATCGCTCAGCGTTATCGATTAGGACAGAAACCCTACGTTACTTTATTTTTGCATGTAATTTAGGGAGAAAGACGGTAATATTAAGATCTGAATGATGCTCTTCGTAGTATATTTCAAAACATTTTGATGGTATATTTTCTTTTCTTCTTTGATGTTAGGGTGTTGCTAGTATTTGGTGGAAAACTATATGTTTGATCTCAACCATCATTTTTATTTTTATTATGTTTTGATTATTTAATTTTTTTTCTTGAAGTCATATATGATGTTTATTTTTAGTTCTATTTTGATTATGTATTGTTAAAAAATTAATAGAATTGTTGACATTTTTTTAATTTTTTTAATAATGATATGATATTGTCTTATGGTAGCACATCGTTAATTTTTTAACAGCAAATGATCAAAATGAAACTAAAACTAAACGTTAGATATAATTTAAAAAATAATTAAATGAATAGAACGAAAAAAAAATGATAATTAAGATATTAAACATATAGTTTATCGTTAATATTAATAGTCTCGAAGTCTCAAGATGCACTTTAGGTGCTTAAACCTCTAAATTCCCTCGGGTGTAAAAGAAATTGAGCCAAGTGTAATATGTATACTTTGGAGTTTTAGTTTGGCTTAAATACACCATTATTTTATAAAATATATTATATGTATCAAGTTATTTTTTTAATTATTTTTTAAATAATTTGTTTCTAAAAGCTTAAATTATTATCTAGTTTTTTTTCCAAATTGTTAACCATGTTAAAAATATATATATAAATAAATTATATATATTTAATCAGTCAATTGTTCTTGTAGCTAATTCTATTTTAATCACTCAACTTTTTTCTTCTTTTAAAATCATAACCAAACTTCAATTTTTTCTTCAAAATCATAATCGAGCTATCTTCTTCACCAATTTTTGTTAGGTTTATCAATTTAATCTTAATTCGATAATTTTAATAAATCTAATTCTTTTTATTGTCATAAAACAACAATAAGATACTATTAAACAATACATATAAAACAATATTAAGCAATTTAAGAGAATAATAAAGATTAAAACGATAAAAATTTTAAATATAAAAAATTTATTTATTTATTTAGTTTGAATTTAGATCAAATTAATAAATTATATTAGTTTTAATGACCAAAGCTATTATTATATCATCTTATGTCATTATTTCATATAGGGATGATAATTTCATCTGGATTCGATAGATTCTGATTTAGTTGAGTTGACTTTTTCTTTTGAAAATTCAATTTTAGGTCGGATCAAGTTTCTTCAAGATGTGATAGGACCGGGTTCAAGGTGAAAATATTCTAACTCGACCCACAATAATATTATAATTATTCATTATACATTTAAAGATAATTTCAATAATAATTCTTTATATTTTATTTTTCAATTAAATTCTTATTTTACTTAATAAAAATATAATTTATATATATATATATATATATATATATATATATATATATATATATATATATATATATATATATATATATGTCGAATGATTTTAACCTAAAATGTTGAGTTTCAAATTAAGTGAAGCCCCCTAAATTCAAATTGAATAATATGTAAGTGAGGACTTCAATTTTCGAATCAAGTTTGTGGGTCAAAAATCTAACCTGATTCAACTCATTCTCACTCCAAATATTTAACAACGAAATGATTTGTTTATAATAGTATTTTAATTAAATGATTGATTTATAAATTTTTAATTGACTTAATTGATACCAAACTCATAATTAAGTGATTTTGAATTTACCCTAAAAATTCTGGGTGCCAATTCAAGAAATAAATTTTCAACAGTGCAATATTCCAATGAAAAAGCCAAATTTCAATACCATCCACCATGTTTCTGTTCTATCTTTTAAACACAAGGATTCAAACACACAGCTACCTTAGATTTTATCGATATCTTCATCTTCGAACTCTACGTAATCGTCCGCACCTCCTTCATCCTCCTCGTCGACAATGCCTTCGTTGAGACGTGTGTTCTCCGGAAGCTCACCGTAGGCCTTCAATAGCCTCGCTTCGTCAGGCATGTACTTAAGGATCACATCAGCCTTGTCGTCCTGATAGTCACGAAGGCCTACAAGAATTATATCGCCTGCGGCAATCCAAACCTCCTTGTGCATGCATCTTTCCTCGGATATGGCAAAGGCGTTTAATGCCATCGATGCACAGCGCTTCGCACCGGCCATTGCCTAGCATTCAGAGCACTTGGGCATACTCTTGCCGGTCTTCCTTGAACACGAGTTCGCGCTTTTCGTCATCGGCTTCGTTCTTTCCTCTCTTTCTGTTCTTTCCACCTTTCCCCTTGTTCTTCGGCATTGTTTTTCCTGAGAAACAAACAAGACATTTTAACATCATCCAAGAAATTGAAATTATTTCAATACAACATAAGCAAACGTTTAGATACACATTTAATATATATATATATAATCAATATGTAATCTCTGTGCAAACAACAAAGAAAAGATGGATATTAACAGAAAATTCATCAAACCTAAAAACACTAGATATTCCAAAATTCCTATCTAATGATAAAACTTTCTGGGGAAGAATTGAGTAAATTTCTTCTCATATTTAAATGCATCTACTTATATTACTTATTAAACTGTTGAATGAGATTAATAGTAGATCAATTTAAACACTTACTCATTTTGAAATTATAAACATATTTTTTATTTTAAATTATAATAAATATTATTATATAGGTATCTTTATCTTTCATTCCAAATTCATTTTTAAATAAAACAAATAAAAATTACTACTCAAAATTTAAGAACATGACTATTGATAGTAACATTTGTGTTGTGACGGTCATGTGTGATTTATTTTGTTTGATTTGAGTATAAAATCGGAATTGATAAATTAACAGTCAGTGACTGGTTGAAGATGATAATCTATGCTCGCTCTCTTCAGATACAGAGAGAAATAGAAGAAGTTATTCCCCTTTTTCATTCTCAGTTGAGGGATTTTACTATAACCTTATTAATGGTATTAGGTTTAGGATTATAATGACTACTTGAATGTTGGCATTAAGGATGAGCACGAGACCCGAAGCTGACGAGTTCTGACCCAATCTAATTTTTTTTTAAAAATATTTGGGGTCGAATTGGGTTCGTGTTCGAATTTAGAATGAAATACTCAACCCGACATTTTACCTTATATTTAGGGATAATTACAATAATACCCCTTTATTTATTATTTTTTCAATTAAATCCCTATTTTTATAGAATAAAAATAATATTTTTTATTAAATATATTATTTTAGGCCAGGTCGGGTTATATTCGATTTTATCTCAAAAGATCGGGTCGGTGGAAGATGTATAATTTTTGGGTCAGGTCAAGTTGACCGAAAACCCAACCTATGCCTATCCCTAGTTGACAGGTTGGATGGATATGAACGTCTTACAATAGATTTTATCGTAACAGATCAAGTGAGCCTCCTAATAGTCATGTCAAGACAAAAATGATTGGTCAAAATATACTTTAATCATCGGGATTGTCTCAGGAAAGGCGGGCTAATATACGGCTAAGATACGACGTTACCAGATACATTAAAAGATATTTGAAAAATTCGGTTTAGCGCTACCGGAAATGTTTAGTAATAATAATGTAGTAGGTCTAAATCATGAAGAAATATTAAAAAATTTGACAATCGACAAACTTAGCTTATCGGTCTGTGTCGATCCAAAAAAAATGTATCGATCCATATCAATATAACAGGTAAAAATATGACAACCAGTTTAATTATGAAAAAACCGGTAAAGTGCTACTGAATATGTTGAAAGTATCGATTAGATTGAAATAAGTATCGACAATTTGTGAATTTAAAAGAGAAACAATAATAGCACCTATAAAGTGTCGATACTTTATAAAGATGTATCGATCCATAACGATATAACAGATAAAAATATGACAAAATCGGTCTCGAAACGACAAAACCGGTAAAGAGCTACCGAATATATTGAAAGTGTCGATACTTTAATATAAGTATCGACACTTTGGTAATTTAAAAGAGAAGCAATTTTAGCGCCTATAAAGTGTTGATACTTTATGATAATGTATCGATCCATAACGATATAACATGTAAAAATATGACAAAACCGGTCTCGGAAAGACAAAACCGGTAAAACACTACCGGATATATTGAAAGTGTCGATACTTTAATATAAGTATCGACACTTTGGGAATTTAAAAGAGAAGCAGTTTTAGCGCCTATAAAGTGTCGATACTTTATGATAATGTATCGATCCATAACGATATAACAGGTAAAATATGACAAAACCGGTCTCGAAATGACAAAACCGGTAAAGAGCTACCGTATATATTGAAAGTGTCGATACTTTAATAAGTACGCCTAATAAATTATCCATACTTTCAAAGAAATAGGTAATTATACTATCGAAAGTATCGACACCTGACATAAAAGTATCGACACTTTGGTAGTTGTATCGATTAAATATAAATAACATATCCGGTGAAAATATAAAGGGCATAGTTAAATATCCTCTGAAAAATAGATAGAACGGACGAGTTTTTGAAATCGAAGCGTAATTGTTACTGCATTTCAGGAGGCGTTTCTGAAGCAAAGTTTGTTTGTTTGTTGCTGCAGTCGAATCAAAAAGTACATTGTCGA